AAAAAAAAAAAAAAAGAGAGATACGCATTTAGGTCAGGCATGACCTAAATTACAGGCTGATGCCTATAATCCCAACACTTTTGGAGGCCAAGGTAAGCGGATCACCTGAGGTCAGGAGTTCGAGACCAGCCTGGCCAACATGGTAAAACCCCATCTCTACTAAAACTATAAAAATTAGCTGGGTGTGGTGATGCATGCTTGTGGTCCCAGCTACCTGGGAGACTGAAGCAGCAGAATCACTTGAGCCCAGGAGGTGGTGGTCGCAGTGAGGAGAGATCACGCCACCGCACTCCACCCTGGGTGACAGAGTAAGACCTTGTCTCAAAAAAATGTATGAGACACGCATTCAGTAGAAATTGTACTTCAAGTGCTCATACATGTAAGCCATTATCCTCAGTGAAATAACTCAGAGATAGAAAGTCAAGGAGGTTGCAGTGAGCTGAGATCACGCCATTGCACTCCAGCCTGGGAGACTCCATCTCAATAAAAAAAAGAAAGTCAAATACCACATATTCTCACTGATAAATGGGAGCTACACAATGGGTACACATACAGAGTGAACTAATAGACACTAGAGAATATAGAAGGTGGGAGTGGGGTGAGGGTTGAAAAATTACTTATTGGGTACAACATTCACTATTGGGGTGATAGGTATACTAAAAGCTCAGATTTCACCACGATGCAATATATGCACATAAGAAATCTGCACTTCTTGGGCCAGGCGCGGTGGCTCAAGCCTGTAATCCCAGCACTTTGGGAGGCCGAGATGGGGGGATCATGAGGTCAGGAGATCGAGACCATCCTGGCTCACACAGTGAAACCCCATCTCTACTAAAAAATACAAAAAACTAGCCGGGCGAGGTGGCGGGCACCTATGGTCCCAGCTACTCGGGAGGCTGAGGCAGGAGAATGGCGTAAACCCAGGAGGCGGAGCTTGCAGTGAGCTGAGATCCGGCCACTGCACTCCAGCCTGGGCGACAGAGCGAGACTCCATCTCAAAAAAAAAAAAAAAAGGCCGGGTGCAGTGGCTCACACTTGTAATCCCAGCACTTTGGGAGGCCGAGACCTGTCTCTTATACACATCTAGATGTGTATAAGAGACAGGTATTTGTTGATAGAACAAGTGAATGTAATCCTATTTCTCTTTTGGTGGTGGTTGTTTTTAAGAGATGGAGTCTTGTTCTGTTGCCCAGGCTGGAGCGCAGTGGCACAATCAGTGCTCACTGTAGCCTCGAACTTCTGGACTCAAGCAATCCTCCCACCTCCGCTTTCTGAGTAGGCGGGGCCACAGGCCTGTGCTACCTGCTACTACTCCCAGTAGAATAAGTGAATGTAATATTCATCACAACAAATGAAGTATTATTATTTTTATGAGAACACTGAAACTCAGTGAAATGATCTGTTCAAACAAATTCATCTAGAAAGCGTAAGCTGACAATTGTAAAACTGCACCCCAAATTTTGTTTGTTTGTTTCCTGAGACAGGGTCTCACTCTGTTGCTCTGGCTGGAGTGCAGTGGCAGGATCATGGCTCACTGTAGCCTTGACCTCCCAGGGCTTAGGTGATCCTCCCACCTCAGCCTTCCAAGTAGCTGGGACTACAGGGGCACCACCACGCAGGGCTAATTCTTTGTATTTTGGGGTAGAGACTGGGTTTTGCCATGTTACCCAGGCTGGTCTCAAACTCCTGGGCTCAAGCAATCTGCCTGCTTCAGCCTCCCACAATGCTGGGATTACAGTCATGAATCACTGGGGTCCAAATGCACTTCAAGTTTTTTATCCCCAAAACTCTCACTTCTTGGTGGGGGTTTTGGGGGAGCTTACCTGGGAACTAATGGCATACTTCAGGTAGGACAAGATGAGAGGATTGGGGGATGGTCCAATCATGGCCTGCTCTAGTAATGCATCTGCAAGAGGAATAACAAAACACGACTGAGTGATTACAACTTCTCTGGGTTTATCCCTCCCATCTTTCTTTCCCAGTTCACTTGAGACCTGCCAGGTTGAGAATGTCCCAGGTGGCTCCTTTAGGAAAGAATTTCTTCATGTTGATTGCCCACTGGTAGTCACTCCAACGCTCCTTCCAGGCTTGCAAAATGGCTTGCTTCAGGTTGACCACCTTCATGATTTCACTCTGAGCAGGTGGCAGCTGTGACGGCCAACTTTGAGGTGAAAGAAGTGGAGCTAAAGAAAAGGACACGATGTTCGAAGGAGAACCGGGGAAGGCAGAATTAAATAGAAAGGAGAAGATGCGGTAAGATTTAAGCTAGGCAGAGGAATTTGAAAGAAAAAGAGCTAAAGAGATAAGGTAAGATCCTGTCAGGCTTTCTCCTCCTGAACCGCCCTTCCTTAAACTGGGGCACTAAGAAGAAAGTATCGGCCGAGCACAGTGGCTCGCACCTGTAATCCCAGCACTTTGGGAGGCCAAGGCGGGCGGATCACCTGAGGTCGAGAGGTTGAGATCAGTCTGACCAACATGGAGAAACCTCGTCTCTACTAAAAATACAAAATTAGCCGGGCTTGGTGGCGCATGCCTGTAATCCCAGCTACTCGGGAGGCTGAAGCAGGAGAATCGCTTGAACCCGGGAGGCGGAGGTTAATGGGGTGCGCCGAGATCGCGCCATTGCACTCCAGCCTGGGCAACAAGGACAAAACTTCGTCTCTCAAATAAATAAATATCAAAGGGACTAATAGAGTAAAGAGGGCATCAAGGAGTTAAGCCAGTCCTCGTTGCCTAATTACGCCCTTAGCTCTAAATGCGTCCTTCGGTCACCACTACTCCAAGTCCAGATTTGCTCCCTCATTTCCTCCACCTTCTCCAGCCCTGTAACTATACCTCCCAATTTCATTTTCATCCACCACCTCCCCAAATTTAAGCCTACCGCACAATCCACTTCTAGGTCGTAGGCATCGCCATTTTGGCACTTGTCAAGAAGTTCACTTTCTATTGGCTGGGAGTAACAAACGCCAACCAATAGAGATGCAGCAAGGAACGTCCCGCTGTCTTCTGGGAATGGTAGTTCTTTGGACTGAAACCGTATTGTCTGCGCTGGCGAGGAAACTAAGGGACTAGTCTAGTCGGCGCGCATTGTTGCTCTCCTTTAAGGGAGGACATCCAGGAGCTGAGACACTACAGAGACTCAGGGACTCGAGGAAGCTCGAAAGGTCGCTCACAACCCGGCGTCGCCCGCGACGTCACTGTCGACCGGCCTTCTCCATCATATTCCGACACCCTTTCTTTCGTTAGCCCCTAGTTAATAGGTGCGGCAAGGGTGTGGCGTTCAGCAATACGGCCTTTCTCTTTTCCTGGGCTCTTTCTTTTCTCCTAAGCTCCTGGGGCTACCAGAGCTATTCTCATTTCCACACCTATATTCTAAAAGCGACACTAAGGTGCCTTACTTGCACACATATCACCACCCCCGAATCTGACAGTCCTATCAGCATCTCCAAGCCCTCCAAACAGCTTGGATACAAGGGAAGGTAAAGAAGAAACTAAGGTGAAAGTGATCAAAATCAAAGGAATTCTGAGAAACTGTCACAGCTAAGAGGGCTAAGGAGACCTGATGACTAAATGTAATGTGGTTTTCTGAATGCGATCATGGAAGAGAAAAAGAATACTGGGTAAAAACTAAGGAAATCTAAATAAAGCATGGACTTTAATTAATAATAATGTATCAGTATTAGTTCATTAGTTGTTACAAATGCATCATACTAATGCTAAGATGTTAATTAAAAGAGAAATTGGATGCAGAATATGTGGGGACCTCTATTACCTTCCATTTTTTTCCTGTAAATTAAAAAATTTTTTTTTAAGTTTCTTGTTGTTGTTGTTGTTGTTTAAATCTTGCTTATCCCAAAGATCCATAAATAATAATATCCAATTATTATGCCCAGGGCCTTGGCCATAGCCTTTCCTTCCCCTAGTGAGAAAGCCAAAACCAAATGTTACCCACCTCTGGCTCCAATGTCTGAGCCTTCTTATGCATAGCCCTCATCCCTCCCCATACTATGGACTGGTCATCCCTAACATTTACAACCAGGAATAAGAGTAAATTACTCGTGAGGCTGAGGCAGGAGGATCACTTGAGCTCAGGAGTTCAAATCTAGCCTGGGCAACATAATGAGACTCTCAGCTCTACCAAAAAAATAAATAAATAAACATGGAGGCCTTTAGCCAGGGCCCAATATCCTAGTTCACAAGTTCAAGCTCAATCCGTATTCCCCAAAAACGATTCTTTTTTTTTTTTTTTTTTTTTTTTTTTTTTTTTTTTTCTCCCAGGTTCAAGTGATTCTTCTGCCTCAGCCTCCCAAGTAGCTGGAATTACAGGCGTGCACCACCACGTCAGGCTAATTTTTGTATTTTTAGTAGAGATGGGGTTTCACCATGTTGGTCAGGCTGGTCTCAAAATCCTGACCTCAGGTGATCCACCCACCTCAGCCTTCCAGAGTGCTGGGATTATAGGCGTGAGCCACCGTGCCCAGCCTTCGACAACCATTCTTTGCTCACCCTTTGAGTGGCAAAATCAGTCCTTGGGGGGATAAATCTGGAAGAGCAGCCCATTTAAGGCTCTGGAAGTAAAACTGGCCATTTGGGCAGAGAATTACAGCACCCTGGGTGTCTGGAGCACAGTCTAGACAGGGAGTCAAGGACTTCTGTTCCCAAGGGGAGAGTGTGGCTGAAGGAGGGTCAGATCATGTCCCTCTGCGGTTGGTACTGCCTATGGCCTTTCTTCCTCCCCATACATTCAATCCACACCTCTCCCTTAGGCTCCCTTTGTGCCTGCCCAAGGGACACCACTGGGGAATAGTGTGTATACAAAACAGCTGCCAAATATATGTTGCCAAAGCTTCTAAAGCAGGAAGGAGGGAGAATATGGATTCCTCACCTCACCTTCCATAAGGCCCCCAGCCACTCCACTCACACTTGAGACTGCCACAAACCCTGCTTCTCCTCAGTTTCTCATGTATCTGACTTCCCCTCTTCTCCCAGGCCCCTCACTCTACCTTTGCCTGCTCCCCTGCTGTCATTCTGTGCTTGTTGCTGCATCCTAAGGCCCTCCACCTGGAGCCATTCCTGGATCATCCTGGAGCCCCTGTCACATACCTTAGAGCCCAAACTGCTTCTCTTGGAGAGAAGCTGTCAACTGTGTGTCCAGTCCACACAGGACTGGGAACTATTTGGGCCCTGAGGATGGTGATATTTTGAGCTTAAACTATTCCCTCTGGCAGGGAGCCTGGCAGATTTCTAGGGAGGTGCCTCCTCCCCACTTCGCAGTGACAGGGAGGCGGCTTTTGTAGTCAGGCCATCTGCCTTCTCTGTCTCCCCACCTCCCACCAGCAGCCCTTTCTCTAGGCTTGGCAAGGTTTCCCCAAAGGCTGGACTCCTATGTACAAGGGCTCCCTTAGTTCTGGGCAAGGACCATTTTTAATTTATCCCTTTTGACCTCCCTGCCTCTCCAGTCTGTAAACATCAGAGGCAACCTTTCCTATACCACCTCTTCCTTCCACACCACAATATCTTCCTAGGGACCCCCTTGGGCTCTCTGGCTCACTGCAAGCACAGGACTCCATGATAATCCTCCAAAGGGTGAAGAGAGATGCTAACATTTCCTTTGGGTGTACAAATAAATAGCCCCCCAGCCAGGCGCAGTAGCTCACGCCTGTAATCCCAGCACTTAGGGAGGCCAAGGCAGGCAGATCACCTGGGGTTGGGAGTTCAAGACCAGCCTGACCAACATGGAGAAACTGTATCTACTAAAAATACAAAATTAGCCGGGCATGGTGGCGCATGCCTGTAATCCCAGCTGCTCGGGAGGCGGAGGTAGGAGGGTGAATCACCTGAGGTCAGGAGTTCGAGACTAGCCTGACCAACATGGAGAAACTGTATCTACTAAAAATACAAAATTAGCCGGGCATGGTGGCGCATGCCTGTAATCCCAGCTGCTCGGGAGGCGGAGGTAGGAGAATTGCTTGAACCCAGGAGGCAGAAGTTGCAGTAAGCCGAGATTGCACCATTGCACTCCAACCTGGGCAACAAGAGCGAAATTCTGTCTAAAAAAAAAAAAAAAAGTAGCCCCCCCAGCCCATCTCAAAGCACCGTTCTACTTACCCCACTTTCTTTTGCTGTTCATTTCCTCTCAACAGGGACAGGGGCTGAACTCCCACCTCTGCCCTCCTAGTCCCGAGCCCCAACCTCTTTCTTCATCTTATTGGCTACCTTGGCTAAAGAGAGAAGAGGGGCAGGTGGAAGTCAACCAGTCAGAGTGACATGGCAACCCTGGAGAAGTGTCAGAAAAGCAGCTAGGCCAGAGTGGGGTAAGAGGTGGCAAGGAACAGGGTTCTGGGTACCCAAGGGGAAGGGAACATTCCTTATCTATCTAGGCTAGAAAACAGTATAAAGAAAAGTGGCAAGAGTCCAGACCCAAAAACCCAGAAACACCGAAATCGTTGGTAAGCATACAAGGCACAGAGGGTGTCAGCTTCCCTTCTCTCTATAGGGAAACTGAGTCATTCCTTTTCCTTAAGTGGAACATTTTCCTCTGGAAGCTTGCCTGGGTCCCCCCCACTATGGGCAGCAGGTGGATGGGAAAAGAAAGTCAGTCACTCCCACACACTTATACACAGCTGGCTCCAAACCAGTTTCCTCCTCATACCAGTCACCAAATCAAAATCCCTGCTTTCCGTCTATCTGGGGGAGGGGATGACGGGAAAGAGGCCTGTAAGGTGGCTGCACCTCAGGGACTCAGGGACAACCCCTGGATCCCCCGCAGTTGCCTGTCTCTGTCTTCCTGCTGCCCCAGGAGAGTGAAAGGCAGAATTTGAATCAACTCTTGGAATAGCTTCCCCTCTAACACCCTGGAGGATGCCTTCCCCCTCCATACTCCCAGCACAGAGAAGAGAGGTGCTGTGATCCTGAGGCCCAGACCGGACAGTGGCTGGGAAGGGAGGCCAGCCTGCCATTTCCTTTGTATGGCCCCTCCCTCCAGGCCCTGAGAGGTGCTCTGCTTCATACTTTTGGCTTCCATATCATACTGCCCTATCCCCTCCTTTAACTGGAGGGGGAGAGCTGCAGAAAAGTAAGCCCCAAACTCTGATGGTAAAGGAGACTTCCCTGCTCCCCCTCCTCTCCTCTCTCCTGTTGACAAAGACTCTACCAGAAGCTGGGAGCATTTGGGGAATCTAATACTTGGCACATATTAAATGCTTTAAAAAAAAAAAAAGTGTCAGGCCGGGTGCGGTGGCTCATGCCTGTAATTCTAGCACTTTGGGAGGCCGAGGTGTGCAGATCACAAGGTCAGGGGATCAAGACCATCCTGGCTAACACGGTGAAAGCCCATCTCTACTAAAAATACAAAAATTAGCTGGGTGTTGTGGTGGGCGCCTGTAGTCCCAGCTACTCGGGAGACTGAGGCAGGAGAATGGCGTGAACCCGGGAGGTGAGCTTTCAGTGAGCCAAGATTGCGCCACTACACTCCAGCCTGGGCAACAGAGCGAGACTCCATTAAAAAAAAAAAAAAAAGTCAGATTAATGAATAAAAGTAGGAGAAACCCTGGAAGACAGCCTGGAAAAGGTGTCAGCTTCTTTTTCCATTTCTCATTTCAGCTACCAAAAGCAAGGCTCAGCCAGGCCTGATCCCTTCCCTGGCTCCCTCTTTTGTGACCTATAGCAAGAGCGCCTGATGGGACAAAGAGGAGAATTAAGTGGCTACTTTCTCTTACCAGGGTAATTGCTAATTTGCCAATCTCTCATCTTCTGCCTCAGCCTCCCAAGTAGCCAGGACTGACGGTCTGCACCACAACACCCAGATAATTTGTGGGTTTTGTTTTGTTTTTTTTTTTGAGATGGGGGGGGTCTCACTATGCTACCCAGGATGGTCTTGAACTCCTGACCTGAAGAGATCCTCCCACCTCAGCCTCCCAAAGTACTGGTGATGTCAGCCACCTTGCGCAGCCTGCTCTCCAACTTTCTTTCCTCCATTTGCACCACTCTTTTTGATTGGGAAACCCCTAGGAGGGAGAAACATCTGAGCTTTGAGTTCTCTTGGCTGGTAGTACCTCAGTTTCCTCTGCTGTCTTTCCAGAGCACCCCCAATAAGTTCAGCTCTGTCTGCAGAGTCTAGAGGTATATGCTGGACATGTCATCACTTGCCGACCTAGGGTCCAGGAGGTCAAGATGAGATAGAGGAGGGGATTTACTGAGGTCCAGGCCACAGAGCTTGTTCCATGGTGGCTGTCTCCTGTTTCCCCGAACTGCTAGAGATGTGTAAGGCTTTTGAGCAGGGATAGAGGATGCTGTGTGGAGTTTTAGCTGTCAGACTTTGAAAAAAACCTCTTCAGAAAAATATCTGGATACCTTGGTTCCTAGGGGTCGTATCCTCAAGAAATCTTGGGGTGCTTCCTAGCAACAGTCTGGAAGGAAGGGAGGAGAGACGGAGGGAGAGAGGGAGGGGCCTGGGCATGGTTGTTCTGATGAGAGCCCAGAGAACAGGCTGTTCCTGCTACCTCCTTAGCAACGGAAATCTCAGCTGGAGGGGCCATCAGACATATCCCCTTGGAGGGTCTATCCGTCCTTATTCATGCCACCCCTACCCTCCCCATAGATTCAGGGAAAGCTCTGAAGCAGGGGTGGGGAATGGGAGGGGACAGCCCTGGTAGGGGGGTTTCATGACAAGGACGGAACAAGAGCTGATGATGAACTGAATCTGAGAAGAGCTAGCAGCTTCAAGAAATGGGTGGGCAGGGTGGGTGGGGTGGGAGGACGGACGAGGCAACACAAGGACAGTGTCTCTAAGCCCAGACCTGGGCTGGATCCTGGCACCTGGGGAAAGACCTGCTTTGAAGGCAGTGTGCCCTTCACTTTGCCCTGCCCAGATCTGTCACCAGTCCATACTGGGAACCCAAGAAAAAGAGGTAAAGAGAAGGCCAAGGCAGGAGGAGCACTTGAGGCCAGGAGTTCAAGACTAGCCTGGCCAACATGGTGAAACCCCGTCTCTACCAACAAAACAAAACAAAACAAAAAAGCAAAAAACCAAAAATTAGCTGGGCATGCTAGCACATGCCTACAATCCCAGCTATTTGGGAGGCTGGGACATGAAAATCCCTTGAACCCAGGAGGTGGAGGTTGCAGTGAGCCAAGATTGTACCACTGCACTTCAGCCTGGGCAAAAGAGTAAGACTCTGTCTCAAATAATAATAATAATAATAATAATAATAAATTTTAAAAAGGAGAAGATGGGGCTGGGCACGGTGGCTCACACCTGTAATCCCAGCACTTTGAGAGGCCAAGGAGGGAGCACTTGAGGCCAGGAGTTCAAGACTAGCCTGGCCAACATGGTGAAACCCCGTCTCTACCAACAAAACAAAACAAAACAAAAAAGCAAAAAACCAAAAATTAGCTGGGCATGCTAGCACATGCCTACAATCCCAGCTATTTGGGAGGCTGGGACATGAAAATCCCTTGAACCCAGGAGGTGGAGGTTGCAGTGAGCCAAGATTGTACCACTGCACTTCAGCCTGGGCAAAAGAGTAAGACTCTGTCTCAAATAATAATAATAATAATAATAATAAATTTTAAAAAGGAGAAGATGGGGCTGGGCACGGTGGCTCACACCTGTAATCCCAGCACTTTGGGAGGCTGAGGCGGGTGGATCACGAGGTCAGGAGATCAAGACCATCCTGGCCAACACAGTGAAACCCCGTCTCTACTAAAAAAAAAAAAAAAAAATACAAAAAATTAGCTGGGCGTGGTGGCGGGTGCCTGTAGTCCCAGCTATTCGGGAGGCTGAGGCAGGAAAATGGCATGAACCCGGGAGGCGGAGCTTGCAGTGAGCCGAGATCACGCCACTGCACTCCAGCCTGGGCGACCGAGTGAGACTCTTTCTCAAATAAGAAAAAGGAGAAGATGGGACTGGTAAATCCTTATCTTTGAGTGCCCCACTCTGCCCCTCAGGGAAAAAAAAAAAAAAAAGTAGATCAGGAGGCACTTCATTTTCTATGGCTCTGGGTTTAGGATTTCAGAAAGTCTTCCCCATCCAACACTATAGGGCCTTGCATCAAAGAGAGATATGGTGGGGAAAGCCAGAATGGAAGGGAGACAAAACCATAGCACCTTCCTCCTCCCCCTCTGGACCCCATCACTCCTGCCCTGATCCAGATTACTGCTGGCCCTCCCCACTGCCTCCTAGTTCTGCCTTTATGGTGCAGAGTGTAAATGTGTCTCATGCATTGGGATTCCCTCCCAGCTCCTTGAGCAGCCCAATCCCAAGGGACTAGTTCCATACAGAGTAGAGTACAGACCCTGAGCACTACACACTGCAGCCTTGCTCCCCAGGCTTGTGGCCAAAACTGATCACTGAGAAGGTGGCATCCACTGGCAGCCTGCCATCCTCAGTGCACCTCGTTCCGCTCACTGCACTGACTGCACGCTGCAGCCTCCTGCCCCACACTGCAGCTGTTGCTTGTCTCCTGTGAGCCCAGACTGAACACAGGTTCGCTTACTGCATGGAGGCTCTGCACGCTGCAGCCTCAATTCACCATTACAGCTGCCACTGCACACCACAGGCTCCCTTCACCCATGGCATGCCCTCAACACCACCACTGCACTCTGCACACTATAGGTTTCATCCCAGTTGCTTTTCTCATCTCCATAGTTCCAGGGACCCCAAGAGAGGTACCCTCCTCTCCACCAAGCATTACAAACTCCAGTACCCCCTGTGAAAGAAGTGGCTCCAACAGCACTGAGGATGCAGGTGGCTGATACTAAGACATGAGCAAGGGCAACCCAACTTGGGTAAGCTGTGGGTCAGAATTCCACACTCACCAAGTGATTCTGCCCAGTATAAACTGGGCGATTAGCCGAGCAGCTCCCCCTAACATACACACACTCGCATACACACACGCACCCCTCCCCAAGAGCAGACTGTGTAGCCAGAGCCCCACCCTGAGAGCCGTGGGAAGGCCGTGGCCCCCGCTGGTAAAACTGGGCTAATGACAGCAGGGGAACCGGCGGGGCCAGGGGGGTGCTGGGGTAATTAGGGCTCAGCCTGGCGCTAGGAGATCCTGAGATGAAAGGTGCTCTGGCGTCACTGGGTTGGTTTTATGTCCATGAATGCAGGTGTGTGGTGTGTGTATGTGTGTGCTGGGGGTGGGGCTGGCATGGTGGAGACCTCTCCTTTGGGTTGGGTTAGGGGGTCCATTTGTATGCAGCCCACCGTCTTCCTTAGGTTGACTCTGGTACCATTTGGATTTTCGTGGGAGCAAACATGGGGGGAAATACCACCACCGGGGAGCTAGGAATTGAGGGGGTATGGCAGCTCTTGTCCCCTCCCCAGCGCAGGAGAGGGAGCAGATTGTTGGGGAAATGGCTGGTGACAGAGAATAGAAAGAGCCTATATGGAGAAGGGTGACGTTGGAAAGGGGAGGCAGTGGATCGGTATTGATGTTAGAAATGAGAGGGGAGGGAGGTAACGGGGAATGAGCCCCTACAAGGATTAAAAACGTAAGATGATTGAAGTTAAAAGGACATCAGGGGTCACCTGCCCAGCCTTCGCACCTGAAGCTTGAGGAAGCTCTGCCCCCGACAGCAGTGGCGATTTGTCAAGGTCACACAGTGAGTTACTGGCGGAGAAGGGACCCGAACACCCAAACAAACTCTACACCTGCAAGCGTTTCGTGTTTAGACTTTCTCCCCCATGTATAAGGTGCAGGCGGCTCGTCGATACTTCCTCCTCCACCCCCACGGTGCACACCCGAAAACCCCCCAATTCTCCCGGCAAGCAAAGGCTATTTTTTAATGACATCTTTTCCAAAATATGTCACCAAGTACCCACTCCTGCGGGAGCCGCCCGGGCGGGGGAGGGCGAGTCAGAGCGGGG